TGCAACTGAGGACTTTTTTTATTAGAATGCTCTTTTTATAAAGGATTGGGCCAAATTTTGAGGCCCTTATTCAGGCACTGATTCTGCTGCCCTCGTCCATTTGCAAAATATGCAACGGCACAGGTAAAATGGTCATTGCACTGTAACATGCAGCTGCTTGACCCAAGCAGGTAACTGCCCAGTTACCTATTCTGCATGCACAGCTGCATGTTTGCATGCACAATTACGTGCCTAGAGCCAGGCATGCATACTCTGGAGGATCAAGGTAGGCTGCTATTTTTGAAAATCTGGCCCTGAGGCTACAGTATCATAACTGTAGGAAATGGGGAATGGGAAACTCCAGTTCAGTATCTTGAGAACCCCTTGAACTATGTTTGTGTTTGGAGAACAAATTTGAATACGTTGTTCTTTTGGCAAAGTGGGGTTAAAAAAAGAAACAAAAATGCCCATTCTAATGGGAAGCCTGTGCTGCGTATAGGGGGACAGAACAACTCTCAAAATCAAGGCTCCTTCCACTGCATGAAGTAGGGGTTTGCCTCAGGAAGGACCGAGTAAAATCTGTGGGCCCAGTTCCGTGACAACTTGTAGCCTGATCCAAAGCCAATTGAAGTCAATGGACAAGCTTCCATTGTCTTCAGTAGGCCTTGGATAGGGCCCCAAAGCATTTCTCATCATGTTAGAGGCTATTCCCTATGGTGCTTTCTCCATTCCAGTTTTAAATGGCTGAAGGCAAAGCACTATGGCTTTCACTATCTTTCTGGTCGTCTACCACCTAATAGCTCTCACTGTATGTCTCTTGAGATTCTGCCTATATGTCTTTACTCCAATTTTATCCCGTTACTCCTCTGTGTACCCCCTTGCACCACCTTAGCAAGTCCTCTTGCTGAGCTGAGGAGTTTCACCAATTCTGGTTTGTATGATTTTTTTTCATTTCCCGTCACAAAATTTTGAACTCCCAAAACTCAAAGTGAAATTTAACCCAGTCTACCACATTTATCTTGGTTTAAACCCCAAACCATAAATCATCCTGGGACTGCCCTAATCCAAAGCTTGTTCAAACTTGAGTGAACCTGTTGGTGAGCCCAGATTAGGTTTCATGTTTGCTGCAAAACCTGAAACCAGGCAATGTTCATCTGGCCTAGGGCCAGATTCACGGCTGGTGTAACACCACTGACCTTACAGTTGTTAGCCCAAGGATGAATCAGACCCCACAGGGTTTATACTCTTCACATACTTTAGGCAAAGCTGTCTTTCAGCATTAACTAACACCTCCTTTGTTATTGTAATTGTTACATAGGATGCAGTACATCCTCGATTCACAAACTTGGATAGAGGAGATTCCAGATGGTAACACATGCAAAGCCACCACTCGCCGAAAACCTTGTGTTGACCTCCATGATTTTATGAATGAGTATGAGATAAACAAATGCAACATTTGAATCTTGGTGTCACACAACGTACCCACTACCTGTTAGTGCTACTCTTTCCCTGGGCTGGGTATGGCCCATAAAGCATTAAAGTTCTAGGAACATATAACAGAGCTTGTTTTGTTACTGTGTGTGTTTCTATGAATAACTGCCTGCTCCCTGGATGGGATTTATTACTGTGTGGGGATAGCGTGGCAAAAATGTCAGCTAAATTATAATTTCAAATGCACAAGCCTTTCCTTGAAACAAAATCTACGGCCTGGTCAACACTAGAAGATTAGGTCAGCAGAACTACATTGCTGGGGACCTAAGTCGCTTTGGAGACAAACCCTAAAAAATGGCCAAGAAAATGATACCTTCCTTAAAGGATATGCCCCCCAGTCAGAGACAGAGAAAACTGTTCCCAGACAATAGTTGCAGTTGCCATTAATTGCTATATTTGTTGTCTGACTCTAGCTTGTATGGCAATAGTTAGATGTGTGACAGCTGCACCGTTGTAGTGTAGACACGACCTACATGGGAAGGAGGGCAAATAGGCCGGAATAGCTACATCTCTCAGGGGTGTGGGTTTTTCACACCCTTGAGAGATGTAGCTATACCAATGTAAATTCCGAGTGTAAACCAGGCCTTAGACACTGAGGAAATAGGGCCCTTAGAAATATATAAAATGGATGATTGCACCAGAATGCCCAGAGAGGCAGATATCTGTGACAGCCAGTTAGGGGAGTAGATGTTTGATCCATAAATAGAAAATAAACATATCTTGGTCAATTAGAAACTTGGTTACTTAAGTCTGTACAGCAATCTGTATAGCTCAGTCAATCAGAGCATTTTAAGCACATCATAGGGCTGTTCTCTGTCTCAGCCTCAGCCCATCACAAAAAGGTTATTGCAGAATTAGGGGTGGTGGAGGCATTCAGATGAGGGTGATGAGAATGATATTAGGCATGGAAAATCACTCAGGAAGCAAGATTGGAAAGGAGGGGACAGGATGAAAACAAAAAATAATGACTGGGTTAGAGAAGGTAAATTGGGAGCTTCTGTTCTCCTGGTCTCATAACACAACAAGGGGACATTAAATTAAAAAAGGTAGGCAATTCAAAATTGATAAAAGGAAATACTTTTTCACATAATATGTAATTAGACCGTAAAACCTACTGCTACGGGATATCACTGAGGCCAAAAGCCCAGCAGGATTTTAAAAAAAAAAAAAGGATTGGCCATTTACATTGTTAACAAGAATATCCAGAGTTTTAACTGTTAATGCTAACACAAAGTTTTGGAAGCAATGCTAAATCTCCTGCTGCAGGGTTCTTATACCTCCCTCTGAAGCATCTGGTGTTGGCTGCTATCAGTAACAGGATCCTAGACTAGATGGACCTCAGGTCTGCTCCAGTCTGGCAATTCCCACGTTCCTTTCATGTACACTAGCAGCAGTAGCCCACTGGGGGCAGGCAGAGAGACCTCTCAGTTGTTCTCCTCTCTCTCTATTTTTTTTTTAAGTCAGCTGCTGTGGCTGTGAAGAGAAACTTCAAAATGTGATCAAGTGGCAGAGTTCACAGAGACCTGATACAATAGCTCTGTGGGTGTGATCTGCCCTATCAATGTCAAAGGATGCTAACTCATATGCCAGTGATGATACTTTACAATGTTGACTATTTTGCTGCCCATCACACCATGTGTGAAAGGAGAGGAAGTCTCATATTACAAATATCTACATCAATGTGTCCCAAATATGGGGGGCATGAGGAAAACAAAGGACTAGCTGGGTGCAGAGGCGGGGTGCAGAGGCGGGGAGAAGATGTGGGAGATCCAGAGGCGGGGAGAAGATGCATATATTAAAATGTGTAGGTATTTAATCCCACATGGCTGGGTTCATTTTCCTGAAAGTAGGCTCAGCTTTTGAAAGTGCAAGAAATGCTGCTGTAACCACTGGAAATACGTTCTCTTCTTTTTATTGTACATAGTGCTGATTAGTTTTGGATGCCAAATACCACATAGGCCTGATTCTGATCCCACTTACACTTGCGGAAAACTCCATTAAAGTCAATGGACTTACTGCTAATTTACATCTGCGCAAGAGCAGAAGGAGGCGCTAGATCCACCAAGGGGCTTACGCTCAGCTTTGCAATGCCTACATTTTGGGTGCTGTGTCACCCAGTAGAAACTGTAGCATTGAATTAGGGGCTCAGGCTCCCTATGCACTGCAGGGGGGAGAGTTCGTTAGAATGGGGCCCAGCATGCTGAGCAAGGAGTCACCTCTGCCAGGCATTAGCATGTCCCAAGGAGAAGGGGGTGGTCTAAACCCTGAGCCACTCAGAAAGCCCCTCTGCTTGGGATTCTCAGACATTAACCCTCTCCTGGAATTAGGGGCCTAAACTGATTTTTGCAAGAGGGAACCCCCAGTGGTCAGAACACTTCTTCAGGATGTGGGAGATCCAGGTTCAATTCCCCCATCTGCTAGCTGTGGAGAAGTGATGCAAAATTGGATCTTCTACCTCTCAGGAGAGTTCCTTAACCACTGGGCTATGGGATAGTCTGGTGCTGGTGTCTCTCAGTCTCACCTGTTAAAGCTGTTTTGCTGTGTAGAAATAATTAAATATGGATTGGGACAGACACAGAGTGAAAATAACTCTCTAGGGCCAATGGTTGGGCATTCCCTTCAGGAACGGAAAACCCAAGTTCAAACACATACTCCCCATCAGTCAGGAGGGAGAACAGAACCCAGGTCTCCCACGTCCTGCCTGAGTGCCCTACCACCTGACTAAAGGTTATGAGAAGGCCAGGCTATTCTCTGTGGTCATTGTTATTTTGTGTGGATTTAAATATGCTCAGTGCATGCCAACTGGATTTGCCCCCGTAGGTGAAATAGATGGGGGCCCACCAAGTTTGAGGAGCCTGCTGGGGCTTAGGTGAGAGAGAGAGGTTTAAGGCTGGTGGCATCTAAATGTTGGATATAGGCACCTAAGTCCTTTTGTAGATGTAGCCCCAGTCTATAAGAGCTACATAGACTTACAAATTACTTGGTGGTTCCAGTAATGATCAAGGAATACCTCTGGGTGACATTCTTCTCGCCACTACACTGGTATTTTCAACTGAGTTGCTACAAATTTACCCCAGTGTAACAGAGCAGGAGCTGGCCTATTTACTGCATGCAGTAGTTGTATTAGCTTTTAGAGGCAGGCTCCTGGTGAGCAGACAAATCACCACATACCTGCTAAACGAGTGACTCTGTAAAAATCAAGTAACATCAAAAGCGAGCATCTCAGTTTAAGTTTAACCTGCATTTTAACAAAGTCTCTTCTATTTTTTACCTAGAGATGAGCTTGAACCACAACATTTGGATGTCTGAATTTTGAATCCCTCAGAAATTTGGGGGCATTCAGATTCAGTGTTCTGGCTTGTGATTGTCTCTGTGTAGTTAACACTATTCCTGAGGCAGGGTATCAAAGTGTACTTTCTACATTAATTCTGATCATCTTCAGAGGCTTGCCTCTCCTGAATCCCTGTAAAACTCTCCAAACTAAATAATTCAGTGTAAAAAAGCCTTGGTCACCATTTGGTTTTGTCCTATTATTGTTTATAAAAACCCTGCAGCATATTCATGGGCAGAGGAAAGACAATGGTGGAATTCTTCTCAGTAGCCAGTGTGGTCAAGGTCTGCAAGTAGCGCAGCTGGAGGGCTGATGGAGCCTCGACCAGCACCATGGAGGCCTGCTTCAGTGCTTCGGAAGCATTCCTTTCTCCTTCTGCTGCTATGATCTAAAAACGTGATAGAAATGGACACGTTGGTGGCAATGAGGAAAAGCCACCCTCCAATTGAAGCAAAAAAACCAAAGTGGAGGTTTGTCCTTCAAAAGATGTAGAGGTTATAGATGTACAACGTTATGTGAATGAGAGAAATATTACTGTGGATCTCACCTGAGCTCTAGCGTCTCGTGTTGCTTCAGCTTCAGCAGCCATAGCTCTTTGCATCTCCATAGGGATCCTGACATCTTTGATTTCCACACGTGCTACTTGGATTCCCCATTTACCGGTGGCATTATCGAGGATAGACTTTTTTTAAAAAAAAAGGACAATTAATATCAAAACCTATACTATGTGACTTAAATGACAAATCACACTAACCAAAATGGCTCAGATATCGACTACACTCCGAATTCCAAAACAATTGCAAAAGAATAATTGAAATAAAAGAATAAATGGGAGGAAATTATGATCTGCATGGGGATATTTCAGGGGTACGTCAAGTGCCTAAAAAAGGTCAGATCAATTATTAGTTGCGAAATATTCTCTCGGATCTGTGACGTGTTGGAGGGGAGATGATGCACATGGGCAAGTCATTGTGCTATTTTTCTAGCATCAGTTCTGCCCGATGGGAACAGCTTTGAAAGAAGCCATTTACCTTTATCGTGGTCAGAATTAAAGACCTGTAGGCCCAAACCTACAGACACTGCCTTGAGTTAAATTCCTCATGTGAGGAAGTGCTTGCAGAACCAGGTGCAATAGTGGGAGCTGTTAATAAAGGACCAAGAGAACCTGGGAACATAGAAAAGTAAGTACCCCCATGTAAAAGAATAGCACTCAACCCTTCATCACAGATAAGCCACTCTGTTATCCGCTGGAGCCAGAGACCCTCAGAAGAGTGCAAGTGACATCCTGAAATTGTCCTGTACTATTTGCCATCAATACATAAAATCATTATGATGCATCACAATGCCTAGCACAATGGGATCCTGGTCCATGACTAGGGCTCCAGGGCGCTACCACAATCAAGACCATTGACTCTTCCTCATTACACATTGACACAACATCACGTCATATCACCTCTCTCATGCACACATTTTCTCCTGGCTGTTGGAAGGGGTGTGGAGGTGAGCTGTCTTTTTTTGGTCTCTCTCTCTCTTCCTGATATCTAAGAGGAAACAAGATCTTTTTTCTCAACTCTAGTCTCTCTTGGCTGCCAGAGTGACACTCCCTGGATTGGGGGGGGGGGTAAAGGGGGAGGGATTTAAACACTGGAACAGTTCAATCCAGTTCAGGTCAATTCAATACATTTTATTGACATGACATGAGAGATGGGCGGTGCCAAAGTTTAATCAAGCATCTGCTTAAGATAATACAAGATGGTTTTACAAAAGGTAGATTGTGCCAGACCAACCTGGTCTCCTTCTTTGAGACGGTAACTGTTTTTTTAGACAAAGGAAATGCAGTAGATCTAATCTACCTGGATTTCAGTAAGGTATTTGATACAGTTCCAATGGGAAATTATTAGTTAAATTACAGAAGATGGGGGTTAATTTGAGAATTGAAAGGTGAATAAGGAACTGGTTAAAGGGGAGACTACAACAGGTCATACTGAAAGGTAGACTCTTAGGCTGGAGGGAGGTTACTAGTGGAGTTCATCATCGATCAGTCTTGGGCCCAATCTTATTTGACATTTTTATTACTGAACTTGGCACAAAAAGTAGAAGTGTGCTAATAAAATTCTCAGATGACACAAAGTTGGGAGGTATTGCCAATACAGAGGAGGACCACATTATCAAATAATATGATCTGGACAACCTTGTAAACTGGAGTAATAGAAATGAGATTGCATTTAGGGACTAACAACAAGAATTTTTGCTATAAACTGGGTATGTATCAGTTGGAAGTGACAGAGGAGGCAAAAGACCTGGGTGTATTGGTTGAGCGTAGGATGACTATGAGTCACTAATATGATGTAGCTGTGAAAAAGGCTAATGCAGTCCTAGGATGCATCAGGTGAGGTATTTCCAGTAGCCACAGGGAAGTGTTAGTACCATTATACAAGGCACTGGTGAGACCTCATCTGGAATACTATGTGCAATTTTGGACTCCCATGTTTAAGAAGGATGAATTCAAACTGGAACAGGTGCAGAGAAGGGTTACTAGGATGATCCAAAGTATGGAAAACCTACCTTATGAGAGGAGACTCAAAGAGTTTGGCTTGTTTAGCCTAACTAAAAGAAGGCTGAGGGGAGATATGATTGCTCTCTATAAATACATCAGAGGGATAAATACCAGGAGGGAGGGGAGCTAGTTAAATTATGTGCCAATGTGGACACAAGAACAAATGGATATAAACTGGCCATCAACAAGTTTAGGCTTGAAATTAGACAAAGGTTTCTAACCATCAGAGGAGTAAAAGTTCTGGAACAGTCTTCCAAGGGGAGCAGTGGGGGCAAAAAAACTAACTGGCTTGAAGACTGATCTTGACAAGTTTATGGAGGGGATGGTATGATGAGAATGGTAAGTAGCCAATCTGTGACTGCCAGCAGCAAATATCTCCAACGGCTGGTGATAGGACACTTGATGGGGAGGGCTCTGAGTTACGACAGAGAATTTTTTCCCAGGTGTCTAGCTGGTGGTCTTGCGCACATGCTCAGGGTCTAACTGAACACCATATTTGGGGTCAGGAAGGAATTTTTCCCCTGGGTCAGATTGGCAGAAACCCTAGGGTATTTTTGCCTTGCTCTGCAGCATTGAGCATGGGTCACTTGCAGGTTTAAACTAGTGTAAATGGTAGATTCTATGTAACTTCAAGTATTTAAATCATGATTTGAAGACTTCAGTAACTCAGCCAGAGGTTAGGGGTCTATTATAGGAGTGGGTGGGTGAGGGTGAGGTCCTGTGGCATAGGCAGCATGTGACTCTTGCATTTGGGGAGGTGGGGTGGGAGTGCCGGAAGCTCCCCAGAAGCTCCTGGACTGTGGCTCTACCCCCTGCTCCACCCCGAGGCCCGCACCCACTCCTCCTCTTCCTGCCCACCCTCCGCCGCTTCCCACCCCTGCTCCGCCTCTTCTCCTGAGGCCCCTCCACCCATTCCTCTCCCCCCTCTCCCTCAATACCCACTCCACCCACCGCTCTGGGGTTTCGGGCTCTGGGGTGGGGCCACGGATGAGGGAAGTGCAGGAGAGGGCTCAGGGCTGGGATAGGGGGTTGGGGTGCAGGAGGGGGCTCGGGGTGCGGGCTGTGTGAGGGAGTTTGGGTGCGGGAGGGGGATCAGGGCTGGGGCAGGGGGTTGGGATGCAGGATGAGGTGAGGAGTGTGGGCTCCAGCCGGGCGGCACTTACCTCGTGTGGCTCCCGGAAGCGGATGGCATGTCCGGCTGCTAGGCTCAGGGGTGGACAGATGACCCTGTGTGCTGCCCCTGCCTGCAGGCACTGCCCCCGCAGCTCCCATTGGCCGTGGTTCCTGGCCAATGGGAGCTGTGGAGTCGGCGTTCAGGGCAGGGGCAGCATGTGGCGACCCCGTGGGCACCCCTGCGCTTAGGAGGTGGACATGCTGGCCACTTCCAGGAGCCACGCAGAGCCAGGACAGGTAAGGAGCCTGCCTTAGCCCCGCTGTGCTGCTGACTGGACTTTTAGCAGCCTATTAAAATCTCCCGGATTGGTTTCAAATTCACAGGGAGATTGATGCCCATTCCAGTAGAATCCTAGCCAAACTGGAGCCCTCACCCCCTCCCACACCCCAACCCTCTGCCCCAGCCCATAGCCCTCTCCCACACTTGAATCCCTTGGCACCATCCCCCAGCCCAGAGCTCGCACCCCCTCCCACACCCCAACCCCCAGCCCCAGCCGTGAGCCCCCTCCCACACCCTAACTCCCTACCCTAGCCCGGAGCCCCCTCCCAACCCCGAACCCCTCATTTCTGGCCCCACCCCAGAGCCCGCACCCCCAGCTGGAGCCATCACCTTCTCCTGCACCCCAATCCCCTGCCCCATCTCAGTGAAAGTGAGTGAGGGTGGGGGAGAGCAAGCGACAGAGGGAGGGCGATGGCGTGAGTGGGGGGCGGGGCCTCAGAGAAGGGGCGGGGCAGGGGTGTGGCCTTGGGGCAGGGGGGCAAGGGTGTTCACATTTGTGCAATTAGAAAGTTGGCAGCCCTAGCCCCCTCCTCCGTGGCCCCCCGCTCCTCTCCATCTTCTTCGCTGAGTCTCCCCCCACCCTCTCCTCTCCACCCCCTCTTCCGAGGCCCCCATACCTGCCTCTCACTCCTCTCCACCCCCTCCCTACTCACTTCTTTCTGGCCCTTCCTGCCTTAAGGGCAAGTGATGGGGAGAGAGGGGGCAGAGAGGAGCAACTGATGGGCAGGCAAGGGGGGGGCCTCAGGAGAAGAGGCAGAGTGGGGGCAGGAAGAGGCAGAATGAGGGTAGGGCCTCCGGAGGAAGAGGCCAAGTGAGGGTGGGGCCTCAGGGCAGAGCACAAATGGGGCCACAGTTTGGGCACTGTTGGTCCCGCCACTTCTTGGGAGCTTCCAGGGGTGGCGGCAGGCCTCCAAAGAGAGGTGCACTGCATCTGGCATTTCTTGCCTGGTTTGGGGAGGCTTAGTCTCCCCAAGCCTCTTATACCCACGACCCATGTTCTGTGGCTTGCAATGTGCAGGAGGTCAGTTTAGCTGGCCATGATGGTCCCTTCTGACCTTAAAGTCATGAGTCTATGAGTCTAAGATAGAGCATCCCAGTAACTATGGATTTCTCCACCATCCCACATTATTGCTCATTTCTAAAGAAGTGGCAGGGAGCCCCATATCAAGACTCTTTACTGTCTCATTCACTTCTCAAAAAGTTAAGTTCCAAGAGCCTTGTTTGCTTTTTAACAAGAGATTACTAGTTTTATCAGCTGAGGAACTATCTTTACAATATTTCTTCCATATTTTGCAGTAGGTGGGGTATGAAACTGAAAGGAGATAATGAAAGATTTTACAATCATGTTTTTTTTTTAAAAAGGCCACTCGTTTCTAAGATTATATTCCATAAAATGAGATGCTGTGCCCATCAATAGAACATTAGATGTGGATTTACCTGGATATTGTGGGCAATCTCTTCTCGACCAGACAGGATCTGGGACAAGCTTTGGGTGCCTAGAACATTTCTCAAAGTGGTCTGTGCCAGCAGGTTGGTGGCTAAATGGACATCTGTGACATTAGCCACTGAACAGACAGCACTGTGGATTTTATAGTAGACCACTCCATCAACTTGGGTAGTTACAGAATCTTTTGTAAGAATCTACGAAAAACAAACATACAGAGATTAGATAATCATCCAGGACACACAAATCCCAATGTTATGGAGATGTTTGTTTCCTGTAGTGAGACAAGAAGCCACTATAATTCGAAGAAATCAAGGTAAATTGATTTCAATGGCAACACCCTGGATTTACAACCTCTAAACCAAAGCAACATTTGTGTAAAGTATTTAAATGACTCGACCAGTAATATGTTAACCATTTGTGATGATTCTGAGTGCATTTGCCTTGGAATAATCATAGGCAGGTTCATGGAATTTAAAAATCATAGGCACAAGTACAGGGAAAAAATGCAACAACTGGATGACATGTTCTTAAATGGTCTGTGGGGTCCCTTTACGTAGCATGCCAGGCCACATTCACCAACGCTGGTGAAGGGAGCCGTAAATCCCCTGTGCCCCAGTGAATAATTCATCTTGCTGGAGCACAGGTGATGTTTCCACCGCTGCCTTACCACCAGAATAGGTGGGAGGCAACTTTAGTTTGCAGCCAAGGGCTCCATAGAAGCCCTGCCAGAAGAGATTGCAGTGAGGATATATTGCGTAAGAATGTTCCCAGGCTATTATGGCCACCTTCCTTCCTGTACAGACCTACCCATGTTCAGAGCTGGCTCTCTTCATCCCTCCTGCATGTCATCTCCCCGCTCCCCTTTTCACTACATCAGCTTCCCCTCCACCCCAGCTGACTTTCCATCTATGGAGTCTTTCTAACAGGGTGTTATGCTGGGGGTTGGGATAAACTTCACTGAAGCTGGTGGGCATGACAGTCACTCTTCATACAGGATAAAAGTAAGAAGCAGTTAAGCTCCTTTATGGAATCCAGAGCTGAAACAATAGGGAGCCACCACCCACAAATATAGGCCACATGCAAGGCTGGAATAGGAGTTGAGCCATGCACTCTGAGAGGTTTTCCTTGGGGTCTGAATGAAATGCAGTTTGTGTATGAGAGAGAGAGGAGGATCAGTACCATAGAAGCACACAAAGAAGGCAGCAAGGAAGCCCCAGATGCATTGGTGTCCCTAGCTTCTGTTTGCCAGAAGCTGGGAATGGGTGACAGGGGATGGTTCACTTGATGATTACCTGCTCTGTTCATTCCCTCTGAAGCACCTGGCATTGGCCACTGTCGGAAGACTGGAGACTGGGCTAGCTGGACTTTTGGTCTGACCCAGTATGGCTGTTCTTATGTTCAGCCAGAGGAGCACTTGTAGTATGACCCTCAGAAATGGCTAAGAGTTGGAGCTTTTGCACAGAGTGCTGTTGGAAATAGGTGGGAAACTATGAGCAAAGAAACGGTCTCCTGCTGTTTGATTCCTACTGTATTTAGGGAAACAGGACTTGGTACATTTTTTGTAAATAAACAGGATTGCATCGAAGAAATATCTGCCTCGATCATCATTTTTTCCTCCTAATGGAAACAACCCACAAGACCATGAATACTGACCGCTTGGGTCAAAGGGGGTAACAGAGTTTAGACTCAGTGAATTTGACACTACATAAAATAAGACCCATGAGCTCTTAAAACCTAGGAGGTTCCTTAAGCATATTTACTCCAGGCCACAGGCATTTAAATTTTGGATGGAATATTTACGAACAATCTCTAGCAGCACACTATATCATAAAGATTTCTCAGATCTGTAACACGGAAACGTTGTGGCTCTATCACTACTGATTCTTGTTTCTCCTTTCTTCAGAAAAGCACAATAAAATGGCAACTCTTCAAGTAGAAGCACAGTACTGTAGCTACATGTAAATAAACCTTTTTTTGGAGAGGGGGAGATTTCCCATTGACTATTTTTAAAAATGAACTTCTTTGGCTAACATTTTCAACCCTAGGTGCCTAAAGAGAAGGCCCTAAATCCCTATTAAAGCCAGATTTTCAGAGATGACGAGTGCCTGCAGCTTCCTTTGACTTCAAGGTGATTTGTTAAGGTACCTAAGTACGTATTAAATTACATATCCGTAGGCACCAAATGTGACAAATTTGGTCTTTGCTCATTGTTTTGTCTGGAACAACATTAACTTTCTAAGGGCTGGTCTACACCCAGCCGCTAGTTTGGCGGCTGGGGATCGAAGTTCTGGGTTCGACTTATCGCGTCTGGTCTGGACGCGATAAGTCGAACCAGGAAGTGCTCGCCGTCGACTGCGGTACTCCAGCTCGGCGAGAGGAGTACCGCGGAGTCAACGGGGAGCCTGCCTGCCACGTGTACCGCGTCTGAACCGCGGTAAGTTCGAACTAAGGTATGTCGACTTCAGCTACGTTATTCACGTAGCTGAAGTTGCGTACCTTAGTTCGACTTTGGGGGTTAGTGTAGACCAGGCCTAAGTGACTTCAGTGAAGGCTTTCGTAATGATGATAAGTTTTGAATCTAATCAGTTAGTTACCAGATCTTCTACTTACTAGGAAAAATAGTTAATGGGGATCCCACTCTAGTTTATTGCTTGATTTCCATGGATTTCCCTCTCTCTCATCTTTGGACCTCCCCACATCTCCAGCTCTAATCTCACTTTCCTCTTTTTCTAATCCAGAATGCTGAAAGTCAATAAGAAAAGCCTGCTTGACTTGCCGGGAGTGACAAGATTGTAACCTGAGCTGGTAGGGTTGTAGGCTTGATTAGGTTCCAGTGTTATTCTGGTGCTAGCATTTGGAAGTAAACAAGTACAGCAAATGAAGTTAAGTCTGTACCGCTGCCAAAGACTGTGAGACAATAAAACTGCTTTCTTAGTTTGACATGTTAAAAACTAAAACTGCTTTAGGTTTGATTTTGAGTTTAAATGACTATTGAGTGGTTGTTACCTCTTGTAGAGGAATGTTACTGGTAACAGTTCTAAGATCAACCCTGGCAAAAACATCCGTACATGGAAGGACTATGATCAAACCTGCAAAAAAGAAGAAAAGGCCAAAGCTGAAACACTTTTATCTGAAGGCTAAGCTCTGATCGCATATGAAGCAAACCTCTGAAAATAACTCTTTCTATTGTGTAATGAGAATGGTCCTCAGAGCTATACTGATATTTCATTACCACAGCGTTTCTTTTTCTGTATGGTTGAGTAGATAGTGCACTAGACTGGGAGTCAGAAGAACTCCGTTTTGTTCTCAGCTCCGCCATGTGACCTTGGGCAAGTTACTTCCTTTTTCTGTGCCTCTGTTTCCCCTCTCAAACTTTTGTCTATTTAGATTGTTAGCTCTTCAGGATGGTGGCTCAGGGGAAACTAGCCACTTAGTGTGGCTCCTCCTTCAACCCCCTGGCCCTGCCCACTTTTTGGGCCATATGGTTGTTTTGCAGAGGAAGCGAGATGGTTATGTGATAAGGGGGTTCTTCCTCCATTCCTACTCCACGTTTGCACCATCTCACTGTACCTTTTCCAATGGATTGTTTTTCATCCGCACGGTGCAAAGGTACTTGTTATAATAATGTAGAGAACAGTCTTCTTCTTAGTGATCGTTTCCAATGACAATAGCACCTGAAGGCCCCAACTATGATACCAAGTGTTGTGCTAGGCGCTGTACACATACTTAATAAGAGACTGCTCCTGCCCCAAAGAGCTTACAACTTTAAATAGACAAGACTGATAAAGGGTGAGATAAGGGAAGTATTATTATCCACATTTTACAGATGGCAAACTGAAGTCCAGGGTGATTGAGTGACATGCCAAAGGTCACACAGGAAGTCTGTGGCAGAATGGGGAATGGACTTCAGATCTCCTAAGTCTCTGTCCAGTGTGTTAAGCACAAGATCATCCTTCCCCTTCATGTGATCTTTAGTCTATTATAAAGCCAGGTTTAGATCTCAGGATCTGCTGGCTACCTCTCTAAACAGCAATATAGAGAAAACAAGCAGCAGATGGACAGGCTCATGGACAAAGAATTACTTTGGCCTTTTTACTGTGCCCTGGACAGATTCCTTGCATCACCCATTCTCTGAACAAGGACTTGAGAGAACCTCAGATGCAGAACATCTGGTTACAGTGAAAACATAATAAAACCTCATTTACTCACCTGGGCCCTTTGCTTTTTTAGACACTATACGTCCCAGCCGAAATACAACAGCACGCTCATATTCTTTGACAATCTAGGACAATATTTTTAAATAATAAATAATAAATAAATAATAAACTAACACCACCCTTCCCTCTTGCCTGACCTTCTATCCTTCAGACCACATGGAAATGACAAAATAATTATAGCAAAAGATGTGTAGGTAATTACACATTTTTGATCTTGGTCTCCCTCTAGCCCCTTGCTGTGGAATATCAAGCCCCAATCCTGCAAATACTTATGCATGTGATCACAGGCACCTGCTTCTTCCTTTCCCTGGGAGTGCTCAACCCCCACTCAGCCCCAGGCCCCACCCCCACTCCACACCTTCCTGCCTCCCCCCCCGCCCCCCCCCTTCCCGCCCCCCCCCCGCCCTGCCCCTCCTCTTCCCGGCCCCCCTCTGCTCCCACCCCGCCTCTTTCCACCCAGTTCCGCCCCTCCCCCAAGCGCGCCCCGTTCCCGCTCCTTCTCCTCCTCCCTCCCAGCACCTCCTGCACACCGCGGGACAGCTGGTCGTGGTGGGCGGGAGGCACTGGGAGGGAAGGGAAGGAGCCGATTGGAGAGGGCGTGGGGGAGGGAGCTTGGCTGCCAGTGGGTGCTAAGCACCTACTATTTTTTTCCATGGGTGGTCCAAGATGTGGACCTGCATTTGTATTTCTTCAAATATTGATCAGTTTTTCTAGGTCTCTCATCCCCAGCACCTCAGAAACATTCATTTATTTATTCTCACACTATCCCAGTGAAGTAGGGAAGTAGTATCCCTGTGTGAGAGCTGAAGGCACAGACAATTTAAATGACTTGTCTGAGGTTATACAGGAAGCCTGGGGATGAACATGGACCAGAACACAGAACCCTTGCATCCCAGTCTTGAACCTTAACTACAAAAATTATCCTTTGTCCCATAACATGGGGTACAAATGGCTTTTGTCCTGGTGAAATACATAGTAGTAATAGACCATTCTCTCAGTGCTCCAATTCCCATCAGCTTACCTTCAAGCACATCCAGATGGAGAAAGGAAAGGTAATAAGCACGAACAGGAATGAAAGAGAAACCAGGATCCAGCCACAGGCCCCAATTCCTTCCTTCTTATCTGCTACAGAATAAAAAGACGGGAACCGTTGTCAGTTGCCTGGTCAATCTGCTGAGTTTATAGTAAAACATCTGGCACAACAAAGAAGCTCTACATGAGGAAAATGACAGGGCCTTCCAGGACAGTTTAGGTTTGAAACTCCTGGTGTAGAGAGCTGGCCCGTTCACCTAATGCCAGAAAAGCTTTAAACCAGTGATTGTCAAAATGTGCAGATGTGTGACTAGCCCTCTGGGCAGTTCTTTTCACTCTCTGGTCCTGCTGCCTTTCCTCAGCACTGTATTATTATTAATTAATTGTGTCGGGAAAGAGCCTGGAGACCCCAGGTGCCAGGTTTTGTTGTTTTTTTTTAGCAGGGGAGGGGGCACTTAGGAGCAGAGCTGCAATGAGGCAAGGAAAAGCCAGAGATTTTTCCACAGGAAGGGTGTGACAAATCCAGCCCAGCCAAGCCCCACACAAGAGGAGCAGCTGGGGCATAAGCAATAGGAACCAGGACAGGAGAGGTGGAGGGAGCCATCCCAGGGGAAGACCAGCTGCAGGAATCAATTTTTCAATGGAAAGTGTGACTGTAATTGATTTTTGTGGGCATGCTACGGAGAAACTGAATGTTGCTGCCTCCTCCGCCTCTTCGCTCCATGCCTCTCCACTACTTGGAGAGGAAGACAGCTAGGGGCTCAGAGCAGGCTACAAGGGAGGCATAGCTCAGTGGTTTGAGCATTGGCCTGCTAAACCCAGGGTTGTGAGTTCAATCCTTGGGGCCATTTAGGGAACTGGGGTAAAAATCTGTCTGGGGATTGGTCCTGCTTTGAGCAGGGGGTTGGACTAGATGACCTCCTGAGGTTCCTTCCAACCCTGATATTCTATGATTCTATGTTCACAGGCTCTGAGTGTAGAGGCTGTTCCAGACAACCTGCTCCCGCACTGGGCTGAACACAACCTGTGGTGGGGGCTGCTCTTCCCTGTATGAGGACTCCTATACCAGAACTAAGGTCTTTTCCCTGCTCACTTGCTCTGCTTGGGATTCAAACTTTGCCCTGTGTAGAAACCTTCTCCTTGTATAACTTCTAAAATCTTTTCCCCCCACCACAATCCCTGAGGAGAGAATGCTGAGCTCTGCAGTTCTCTGCTCCACATTTCTGAGGTCCTTGAAACAGATTTAATCAATCACAGGTTGAGAGGTTTGGGCCCAAGAGGACCAAGTTTCAGGCCTTCTTTGGAACATCCTGCCTTTTCTGTTCAAGCTTTTTGCATGAGAACTGTGTGTGCATCTTACACTAATACTCTACATTTGGGAGAGTTTGACTCCAGGCTTTTGTTCTGACCCATTGTAACAGAAAAGACACAAATCTAGGGGTTAGGTGCAGGCCAGTTGCCAGAAAAATATCATTTGGGCTTGCCACTGCTGGAACCAATGATTTGAGCAGTTCTCTTGAGTAAATTACCATGAAAAGCTCAGGTACATATAGCTGAGGTCAGACTAGGACCCTCAGGGATTAGTGTTAAAAATTTAAAAACATTGTCTATGCTGCTTCTCCACCATACATCCTGCCCTATTCAGATTCAATTGCCATCACTGGAGTGTCAGGCTATAGCTGGTACATTAAGTAATAGGCAAGAGGATAAATGTTTCTTCCATCAGCTGAATGTCCTACTCATTCTTATGATCAAATGCAATGTGAACATATAATGGGAGATGTTTGTATCAACATTGGTTCACTGTCAGCTTCAAGTGTGAAAGATTGCTCAAGAAGCAGGGCCATGTTTTAATCACAGAAGAATTTTACAGATGCTGAAAAAAGGCATATTGTACCTCTTGGCCTTCGTCATCCTCCCCACCTCCAACCGTGCCATCATCCCCTCTCCCCCTGCCCCTTTTACACCCAGCTAGGCTGTAGGTTTCAACAGAGCTTTTCTTTGCAGCTCAAAAGTTACTCTGATTTAAAATATCATACTTGTATCCCTGTTCACCATGCTGCCACTGTTGTCATTCACATCCTTCCTAAAGACTCTGGGCTAGATCTTCCAAGGGACTTACTTAGGTGCCTATGGCCAACATTTACATGTCACTGAGATCCTCAAAGCTCTCACTCAACTGAGCCCTAAATTCCCAAGTTCCCACTGGTAACGTCTCCTAGGTGGCTACGTTTCTGCTGATGGGCGCATGCACAGCCTTCTCTGTCCTGACACCCCCAAGGTGCTCAGTGCCCTAATACGATTCATAAACTAGATGTTCCCTCACCCTATCGTGCCAGGGCCTGATCTGGTAGGCGTTCTTGGAGCACGCCTAACTCGCACAAAAGTCAGGTGTGGTGATGGCTGTTAGACCGCTCACCTGGGCTGATTACTGCAGAGGCAGGATTTGAATACAGTGCTTCCACCTCTCACACGGGTGCCCTAACCACTAGGGTATTAGCTACTCTGATGTGGGTTTCCCTCGGTCTCTCCTGTTGAAGCTGTTTCACTTTGGGTAAATAGCTAAATATTCATTAGGCTAGAAAAAGAATCATTTGACAGCCCAGTGGTTAGGGCATTCACCTAGGACATGGGAGACCCAGATTCCACTCCCTGCAGCTGAGCAGGAATCTGAAAGCAGGTCTCCCACATCCCAGGAGACAGTCCTAACCCCGGAGCTATTTGCTATCATGGGGGATGGAAAGAAGGCGCTCTCACTGTGTGTTTTTCTTGCTACAAAGGATTGACCTGAGCCTAACTCCAGGACTGTCCCTTTGATGCCCAGGGCTTAGGCCGCACCCCTCTCCTGAGCATTTCCTACTGGCTAGCTTCAGGCGCTCCCCATTCAGCTTGTATGAATTCCATTCTTAGGTGTCAGACGTTTTCCATGCATTGAATAGGGAGCCTAACTCGGGGCTGAGGATTCCACTGGATGGCAGGATGCCTGAATGTTAGGCATTGCATGTCAGCGTGGCCATGCCTATGTTCCTTTGTGGATCTAGCTTTCCCTACTCGATGCCCTCCCAAAGTGAGGTAATAGAAACAAATAAAATAAAAAATCTTCCAAGTTATTTCCTCCTCTGAGTTTCCCAGTGCCTCAAGTCTCTTCTGTGTCTGTCTTTTGAAGGGCCAGGCCTCTGGCGCCACAACTGTTTTTATTTTGGGATCTTGTACAGAGCTGAGCACTATTGGTGCTTTGACCATCACTTTGTGAGAGACAGAACTAAGTGAATATAAGGCCACATGTTTTGGAGAGAAAGAAAGATGTTCCCTTATGGAAAAGTCCTATAGGATTTAGTAGAAAATACTACCCTTTATATAGGTTTATGGATCCCTATAGACTATCATAGAGAATTATATCCCTATCCTAGAATTCTATAAGATGGTCTAAAACCCTATAGAACGTTTATAATTCTTTATTAAAATCTATAGGACTTTTTCATAAGGATTATGTTGCTCTTGATTGCTAAAGCCAAAATGCTAGCAGCATAGATTGTCTATCTAACCTATAATTATCACACAAAATTAGTAACCATTTAAAAAAAAACCAGGGGGATGTTGGATGGCTCCAGGGATACGTAATGGAATATGGAGTCTTTTACCTGTAGGAGCTCCGACACCCTGGCAATGGGTGCAGTGAAAAAACTAGAATGAATGGAACTGGTAAATAGTTCCAGTCCATATTGGACCACTGACTGAAAGCTGTTACCTGTTCAGTTGCTTGGTGACTTAGGTGAAATGAGTTGGTTGTCTCAGTCCAATTCTCAGGAGCCTTCATTACAAAACCACCTGCGTAATTGGCACCATTTGGTACCATCACGGCTAGTCTTAGCAGAGAGAGGCTAAGGATTGTATGGGTATGGACTCTGAATTAGCCTATCCCCTATAGGTGTCAGTCCCCAGATAAGAGTTGAGACATACTGGCAGGACAGTGGGGAAGCTGGCACAAGTGCTGTCCATGAAGATGGAGGAATCCAGGGCCAGCAATCTGAGGCCTTTGACCCACACTTAACTTCTCTCTCTCTCTCTCTCTCTCACACACACACACGTTTGTTGGGGTTATTTTGCAGTAAGAATGGAAGGAATACTTACCAACTAGAGTCTCCTTACTCTCTTTCCCAAGGGAGCCTTTCCCGGAATCCATCTCATTATAGAGAAATCCTTATCACCTCACAAGCCGTAATGAAGACACCCCCTCAAATGGCACACAGCTTGTTAAAGTGTCTGAGAAGAAAAGCAGAGTGACAGAAGAACAAGCTCTCACCTGCGAGCCAGTCCTCAAGGGTTTAGTTACCCAGGTGAGGGAAGAATGTTTACAAAAACAAAGTCTGATGGGTCATGTTCTTCTCTGGAGTAACTCCACTGGTTTCAATGACTTTACTCCAGGGCTGAATTTGGCCCAGCACTTCTAGTTCCTGCAGAATCATCTCTGGGCATGATTTCTACACACGTCAGCAATGAATGGCACCATTTTCAAAGCCACAGCAAAAAAGGAAAAGAAGTCAAAGCTGGATTGTAAACTCTCCAGGGCAGGGATTGTTTCTTGAGCTGCGCCTTTACTGTATCCAGTGTAATGGGGCCACAATTTTGTTTAGGGTCCCTAGGTACTAATGCAATACATATAATAATGTAAGGACGCCAGTGAGATTTCAAGGAGCATAGTGAATCCTCCTTCTCCTCGTTAGCTTATGAAAGACACCTTAAAATTATTAATTATTAATAAACATTTATACTACAGTAGGACCTAGAGGCCAACCAAGTTGAAGCTCTATTGTGCGAGACACTGTAAAAATATATGGAAACTTTTTCAGCCTTTAACTCCTTACATTGCCCAGGAATTATACGGGTCAATGGACATTTGCTAGACTTCCTAAAACTCGTTGCTTTAGTACTGCATCAAATTGGCTGTAATTAGAGTGTGAAAATAAAGACAAAACCATTTACAAAGAGTGTGGGCGGAGGGAAGGTGTCAGCACCTTCTAAGGACATAGGACAAAATGTCATAGTATGTTAATTCAATGAGCCATTTTCTCTCTTTCTCTCACTTAGTTGCATTAATTATATTTTTATGACTTATCTTCTCCATCACACTTTAATTCTCCCTCTATATCCATTGCTTCCCTATTGCTGCCAATACATTTAATTACATTTTGCCTAATACCTGTTACATGTCCTCCCCGTGGATGGGCACCAGGCTGCTATATTGGACCCAACCTTTGGATCTCATGGCCTTCCACACCCACTGGGTTTGAGCAGCATCCAGGCACCATCTCTGGATCTGGGCTCTCAGGCACACTTCAGAGGGGCAGACTCCCTGTTGGGTGCCCCTTCCTTTGGGAATGGAATCCCACAGGCCAGCTGCCCTAGCCCCCAAACCAATACTAACCCTCCAAGTCTCCCCAGCAGTTTATACAGGCATCCCTCAGAACCCCACCTCATGGGAACTGTAGGGTTTAGTTTAACTCTTTGGGGACATGTGACAGATAAAGCAAGGAACACACAGGCTTTGCAAAGGAACTTCTTAAACACACCCCTTTACCTAGATCGTGAGCCCCATGGGGCAGGGCCTGTCTTGTGCTTCTGTGTTTGTACAGTGCCTAGCACAATAGGGCCCTGACCCATGACTGGGATTCCTAGGTGCTATGGTAACACAAATAATAATGCTCTTAGCACAAGAGATATCAAAAACAACAAACACCTATACCCTGTTCCTCTGCCCTGAGTCTATGCTCACCCCCTTCTGTGTGTGCTTCGGCCCAGTCTCTGTGAGAGGCAGGTAGGTCCCTCTTCCTCCAGCAGTCCTTCTACTTGCTGGCCATTGCTCGGCTGGTGTATGTGGTTGTGAGAGAAAGAGAGTGTCTGGGGCAGAGCCTGCCCTTAAATAAAGTTTCATCCCCCTTCTGTCAGATGAGTCACTCATCATCTTCAAAGCCCTAGTCAGGGGTGTGTCACAGCCCTGGCAAAATGCCCCTGCTGGATGCTCACCAGTCTGTGGGTTTGGACCCACAAACTGGAGCACCATGTCAGTTAAGCTCCCTTTGATTCCCCAAATAGGCCCCAGTCACAGTCTTTGATATCCTGATATCTGACTTGTGTCCATTTATCCTCTTGCGTATCCTCACTATGCAAGAGGATAAATGGACACAAGTCAGATATCAGGAATGGCAATATACAAAAACCTGTAGGAGAACACTTCAACCTCCCTAGTCACACAATAGCAGATGTAAAGGTAGCCATCTTACAGGAAAAAAACTTCAGGACCAGACTCCAAAGAGAAACTGCTGAGCTCCAGTTCATTTGCAAATTTGACACCATCAGATCAGGATTAAACAAAGACTGTGACTGGCTATCCAACTACAGAAGCAGTTTCTCCTCCCTTGGTGTTCACACCTCAACTGCTAGCAGAGCACCTCACCCTCCCTGATTGAACTAACCTCGTTATCTCCATACTGATTTATACCTGCCTCTGGAAATTTCCATTTCTTGCGTCTGATGAAGTGGGCATTCACCCACGAAAGCTTATGCTCCAATACTTCTGTTAGTCTTAAAGGTGCCACAGGACCCTCTGTTGCTTTTTACTAATTTAGGTTGGCATACAGCCACCCACAGTAATTACTGCAGTGGTTTATGTCCACACTACGCGCCCTGTTGGTGGTGCATGTCCTCATCAGGAGTGTTTCCACCAACTTAATAGTGTGGGGCAGTGTGGGGCACTGATAACTAGAGCACCCATCCTCCTGTGTGGGGCTCACAGCTGGAGCCCCCCCACCCCATGCGATGCTCATAGCTGGAGTCCACCCGCCCCAGGGCTGACAGTGTGATTCTCACTGTGAGCCCCGTGCAGGACTGACAGCCAGGCGTCAGCCCCAGGGCAGGGGGAGCTCCAGCTATGAGCCTGGTGCGGGGCTGACAGCCAACAGACAATGTAAGTAATGCAATGTCTACACAGACATTGTGTCACCAGGGCTGTTCCTACCCATACGCAAAGTATGCAGCTGCGTAGGGCACCAGGAAATTTGGGGCACCAAATTTCCTGGTGTGATATGCAGCTGCATGCTGCTCCAGCCCCTGCTCTGCCTCTTCCCCATGGCCCCTGCCCCTGCTCCGCCCCAGCCCCGCCTCTGCTCCGCCCCAGCCCCGCTCCCACTCCCCTGAGGACTGCAGCAGGGGTCAGGCCTGCACTCACCAGCGGCGCTAAATGGAGCGACCCAGCCCCAGCCCGCTCCGCTCCCCTGGCTCCCAGCTGCGCTGCCGGTGAGTGCTGGGGGGCAGTTCCTCCCTGCCCCCAAACCTCAAGGCTGGGAGCCAGGGTCCAGGGAAGCAGAGCGGAGCAGGCTGGGGCTGGGTCACTCCACTTCCCGCCACCCCATGAGTCCGGGTTCAGGGCTGCCCTGCAATCACCGGGCAGCAGGAAGTGGAGCAACCCGGCCCCAACTCGCTCCGCTCTGCCAGCTTGTGCTGGAGGGCGGTTTCCTCCCTGGCCTGCTCCTGCCCCACTGCGGAGGCCTGGAACCAGCCCCTCCTCCCCCCCAGCCCACAGAGGCCTCCCCCCTCCGCGGGGGGGGCGCTCCATAGGGCACCAAAATGGCTAGGGACGGCCCTGTGCATCACCCTAACTACACTGATCTAAGCACTACGCCTCTCGCAGAGGTGGAGTTATTAGGTTGGTGTAGTGGGCGACTTACATTGGTGGGCGCAACTTTGCAGTGTAGACGCTTACAGAGTTAGGTCGATATAAGCTGCCTTATGTCAACTTAGTGTAGACCAAGCCTTAGTGCTTTTAAACCCCTGCTCTGGTTTTGCTGTCTCTATTCTCTTCTCGGGATTTTCCATTCCTTAAAACCCTAGGTCTCTGCAGACAAGCTGGAGAAAACTGCTTTCACCTAGGCAGTGGTGCAAGTGGAAATCATTTCTTGCCGGTATTGCACTCATGGGAGGGACACAAAAGAGGGCATGTGACCACCTCACGTGACCCTCCATGTGACTCCTCCCTGCCTCGCCCCCAGCTCGGTGACCCCATGCTCTCCCCATCTCCACCAACACCCCCCTTACCTGTCTAAAATTTTACAACTACATCTGTTAAGCAGATGCAGCTGTGAAATGATGCTTTGGGCCCCTGGTGCCATCTGTACTTCCAGGTGTCATTGAGGATCCAGCAGCACCCCAAATTGAAAATTTCTTCAATGAAAGAAGGATAGGAAGGATAATCACCCCACTTTCCCTTAACACACTATCAGTGCCTCCCTTATGTCCAAACTAAGCTTCTGCCAGCTTGCCTTTATCTAAGTATTGCTCTCCTCCAGGCACTAGGAAAGCAAAGATGCTGCACCATCTGGGTTTGATGGAAGAGGCATAGAACTGTGTGCCATGTACATCTTGATAGAACTACAGCCTAACTTGTTTTATTATTTTCCTCAGTGTGACATACAGGAGGGGCAATCAAAACCAGCCTGGCAGAACAGGCATGAGAACTGTCTCTGGACAGATAAGCAATTGATCAAAATCACATTCTCTGATCTCTTAGGGCCAAATCCTGTTCCCATTGAGATCAAAAGGAATTTTGCTATTGAGTTCAATGGGAACAGGCTTTGACATTTGGAGAGGAAAGAACAAAACCACTCAAGTAAGGGCTATGTTGCTTATACCACAGGTATCAAAGGCTGCTGACTCATGTGAGAAAGTCAACAGACATCTGGTCTTTGTCCATTGCAAGGGAGAAATCAGCAATCAATGAGGCTAGAACAGTCTCTGTACCATATCCAACTCATAAGTCCATCTGCAAAGGCTCAGGGAAATATGAAGGGTGAAGGCTCCAGATTACTTTAAAGTCCTCAGTCCCTTGGTTAGAATGCTCCAATTAGTATATATGTTCATAGTCCAGAGGCTGGAGCAGGAAATTGGCCAGAGCAGGAAAGAGGCAAAATGGATATGTTTCCAGGCCAGGGTCTTTTAGCTTCTGCCAAGTGTCAAGTAAAGGGAAATCTGTTCTTACTGTGAAAGATGGTGTTTGGAGTCACATGGGCAAGTTACATGTCCATCACCCCCAACCATATTTTAGTTAGAACATTCACAAAAAGTCTATTAAGTGTAGACAGGCGTTTTCCAGGGGCCATTGTGAGTTAAGTGTTCCTTAATGGGCCATTC